GGAAATAAAACGTACGTAGAGACGTGGGAGCGTCGCGGCACGGGCTGTATCCTCCTCCCTGCCTCAAATCACGCGCGGCTTCCGCGGCTGAAGAGGCTTCAGCACTACCCAGCATCCTCCATCACCGCCCTTGCGTGCTCTAAACAAAGGTGACAAAACAAGGACACGTCTGCATAGGATTTTATTAAAGTAGGCATCATCCGCAACTTACAAGATTTGAAAAAAATATTTGTAACAACTTTTTTTTTTTTTTCTTTTCCCCCCCAAATAGGTAATTTAACAGCTACAATGCTCAAATGTCACGAGCGAAGTCTCTGCCCAGAAGTCAAACTTCAAAGCGGTAGCAAAAGTTACACCTTTTGTACCACATCAAATTGGTTTTATACAGAAAAAGACTGTAACATAGTTACAACAGAAGTTAATAGGGAAGACAGGGGGGAAAAAAAAAAAAAAATACACACGCCATTGGTCACAGGTTGAAACCCAGAATTTCAAACAGGACTCAGACAATGCAGACACAGCTTATCACATCCCCTGACCACCACCGTGCTGTTATCTCCAAACAGCTCTCTGTTGCAAGAGGCTTTATTTCAGAATTTGCAAAATAGAAGTTGCTTAAATGGCTGCTCCCAAATGGAGTCAGCAACTTGAGGCGGGGGAAAAAACAAAACAAAACAAAGCAAACCAACCATGAAATTTTTGTTCAAATGGCTTAAGTCTGAATTTCACCTTCACCGCAACACCTTATCCAACGCTTGTGTGCAAGAACACAACTGAGGACAGCGTGTTTCAGAGGAAAGCACATTCTCGCTCTTCCCTCCGGTCGGTGTTGACTGGAGCTCGGAACGAGGGCGAGGGGAGCAGACCCCTTGTCTTTGAGTGAAATGAAGAAACGGAGCGAGACCCATCAACAACTCTTTAGAGTTCTTGTGGAATGGAGGGAATGAGGAGTCCCCAGGGTTGGACTGATGAAAGACTGGAGCGGATGAGACACTCCAGCTCCCAGGGAAGCCTGGCGGCTCAGCTCAGCAGTTCGCTACGAGATAGATAATCCTCTTCTGGCAGGGCACAGACAAAACCTGAGCCAGTCCTTCCTTGGAGGGCATGAATGGAGGGGCCAACTTCGCCGGCCCATTGGGCCAAATATTACACTCCAACGACGCGATAGTTACAACAGCGGCCAAAGTTTAAAAACTTGTCTTTTCAGAAACGTAAACAATATACAAAAGAAAAAAGTTTCAATAATAGGCCACAACCTTAGAGGTTTTTGAGCTTAAATACCTGGGAAACACATACTTTGCCAACAGATGAAAGAGTAAGATACAGACAAAATCAAGAGAGGCAAGTTTAACGAATGTTTAAAACGGGGTTTCACCACAGAATCTTCACTTGCAGGTTACTCTCATGAGAAAAGGCATTCCCTGCAGCACGTAGACTCCTTCACAAAGAGGCAGAAATCTGGCTATGTCAGTTATCCACATACTGAGAAAACACCGCGGGGTTACGGAGAGCGTAACAGACTTGCAACCGCCAAAGCATCGTCCCAGAAAAGACAGCAAACAAGTTGTAGGCAAAAAAACCCCCAACCCCAACATGAATATGTTTACCTACACACTCTACTGGAGTATACAAGACAAAAGAGATGGAGAGCTTCATAAAGGGAATTTCCAGTCATTTTGAAAATGAGTATTTTTTCTTTGAAAAAAACAAAAAAAATCCAAGTTCCCAGACGCCGTTCCTCAAGGCGTGCTATAGCTATAGTAGCGGATGGCTCAGATTCACCTCCACGAAACTGGTATTGTACCTAAAATGGCTTTCCTGTCTCTCCAGTTTGTCATTTCTCAAAGCCTCCCGAGTAGCTTTTGAACACACAGATCTTCCTCGCATGCACCTACTAAGACTTCCTTGTTAATCCCAGAACCTCCTGTGCGTGAAGCTCAGTGAGCAGAACGGCCCTTAACTGTAGCTAGAAGATGGTTGCAGCTTCTGGATCCCTCTCTAAAGAATAAAAGCGTACGGCAGTTACGCACCAACAGCATCCAGATACACTTACAGCGCACGCGGAAAACGTAGTGAACATGAACAGATTTCAAAGGCTGACCTGACTCTACCGTAAGGCTCCGTCGCCTTTAAAACTTGCTCCGGGCCCTCTGTCATCGTGCTAGCACGGCAAACAACCGGGATAACCAAAAGTAGCGCTAATTAACAATAAACCCATAGCTGGGCATTGCCTTCTTGAAATACGCCCCAGATTCACATACACGTAACAGCTCTTTGGATTTCACATCTACCTCCCAGGCTAAGCTGAAGGCAGCAGCACTTTCAAAGAACAGGACAAAGCCTAGCTTGTAAACCCTGTTTTTTTAAACCATAATGAGAATTCAAGTCCTATTCCCCTTCACATTTATAAGCATTATAAGAATAATGCTACTGTGTATGCTCTATGTATAAAAAAAGTGTATGTTTATACAGCACTATATATACACACACACATATATATAAATAGGAACGATCGACCAAAGTTTGACTTCGAACTAGAATTGCAACGACCCCTTGCAATTTGGAAACACGAAGTAGCTCTTCTGATCTCTCTTTTGTAAGCAAAGAGTAGAAAGGATAGGATCCTACTCACTGTGATCTAACATCCTCCACCAGGAAAACGAAAAACCTATCGTTAACTTTGCGGGATATGCCTGAAACACCAGGTTTGACAATATTGCCCCACTTTGCCACAGAAGAGGCAGGCAGTTTTTTTGAAATGTGGGGGAAGCCACCAGCCGGGAGCAAGTGCTTTTTTTTTTTTTTTTTTCTAGCTGCTTAAATGTGAAAGTTCAAGAATTCTGTGTTTGTCATCGGTGCTGTGCTCAGAGACAGTACCAAGTGATGTCATTCATCTAATAGTACATTCCAGCTACAGAATGTTTCTGCCCAACTCTATTGCTACTTATAAAAAACAATAATAATTGACATGCTCTAAGACTCAGAAAATGATAAACTAGTTTAGCCATTTCTTCCTGGTCCTCTGTGGAAATCCGGAAACATCTTACAAAGTATTTCAGTTAGCTTGAGCAATCCTGGAGTCAGACCCAAGGAAGCTAAACATTGTAGTCACCAACTCAGGGAGATCATAATCATGTTTCCAACCCCAATCCCTCCGGGCGTTCCTATCATCAAAGTTCATCGGCCAGCTGTCAGCTGCAATGAAAAGAAAGAAGAAACACAGAGCGTGAGGTTTAAGAAAAAAATTCTTTAAACTTTAAGATGTATCATCACTGGCCATTTGAACTACTAACGCTGAATTTCAAACTGTAAGACTTGAGCCATATAGGAGCAATCTGCAAGTGCCTAAAAAGAAAAGGAATTTTGTTTTGCCCTTAACGTACAGCAATCTAATGTTTTTTCTTACCCAAGCTGCTACTAACCTATGGCCTGCCTGACTTCATCCACGTTGTAGGTCACCTGGAGTTCGGGAACATGCTTCTGCACCTCTTGCGCCAGCTCTTCAGGAGTGAAGCTCATGGCACTGATGTTGTATGTCCTCATGCTCAGCGCCTCTGCGGGGGCCTCCATGATTTCTAGAGTGGCTTTCAGACAGTCATCAATATACATCATAGGGAGACGAGTGTCTGGCTTTAGGTTGCACTGAAATTTGCCAGTCTTTATGGCATCATGGAAAATCTGGACAGCATAATCTGTAGAAAAGAACAACGGATGCCTGTACTCATCTGCCTCAATCTGTTGTTCGCTTCAGGACAGTCAACAGCCCTCAGACCACCCCCAAAGTCTCCTGTCTAAAGCCTAGCAGCAGAACTGTGTATGACTTAAGTTGTAAAAGTCATTCTGAACTATCCCGATGCTCTTCTAGCATTTGCACATTGCAGCAAGACAGTGGAGTTCAAAATATTTTTAAAAGGAAATGGTCTCAATGAGTGTAATTATTCTACAATCTCTCAGACACTGTTTAAATGTAAAAGCTACGGGAGTCCCCATCCCTGGGGGGATTTAAAAGCCGGGCAGACGAGGTGCTTAGGGACAGGGTTTAGTGGTGGGATGGCAGGGTTAGGTTAACGGTTGGACCTGATGATCTTAAAGGTCTTTTCCAACCTAAACAATTCTATGATTCTATGATTATGCCCTAAGCTGGAGTGGACAAAAGTATTGTTGTAACACTGTTGAAATAGCATCTCTGCACCGATGCTCTATACTGCCACAGATGACATTTCTACAAACATATTAAAAAATGATGGTATAGGCTTATGTTTTTGCTGTTCTCGCCTGCAATACTGAGAACTATGCACAAGTCACTTACCAGTTGTTCCCCCACCAGGCTGAGAGTCAGCAGATATAATTCCTGGATACCTCAGGCAGCGGAAGTCTAGGCCATACCGGTAATGGTAGTACTGTGGAGGGAGGAGAGAAACGGCTTTACACATCAAGACTAGGCCACACACCTCATTGATTTCACAGGAAAAATCTACCACAGGATGAACCTTCATTCTGTAGCCAACCCATGATGGGGATGAAGGGGACAGGGTTTAGTGGTGGGGTGGCAGGGTTAGGTTAACGGTTGGACTGTATGATCTTAAAGGTCTTTTCCAACCTAAACAGTTCTATGATTCTGTGAAAAGGAACTGCTGAACAGTCTCCCTTCCCTGCCAGGTAGCTGAGCTCTCTGCTTGCCCTTTTCTAGTTTTCATCCACATCAGTAGATATTGATTCTTGAGATGGATTGGCTTCTAATGTAGGGTCTAGATCTAGCGTTCAGAAACTGAATATTCCTAAGCTTGTGAGACTTTTCAGGTTAATACACTTTTCAGACCTGCCACTGTCCTTCATCAAGTTGAAGTGTGAGGAAACTGTATGTAAAAATATCAGCTTTAACAATGTTACATTTCTAAAAAACTACTACAACTCCTCAGTTGTGCACATACAGATTCCCACGGCTTTGAGTTTAGACTCCTTTTTTTTTTCTCCCCTAAAATCATCAGTCTGGCACGCTTTCACAAGATTCTGTACGCTGTCATTTATGCAATGCCATTCAAAAGAACCAGGGAAAGAAATTATATTGAAAGTCAGATGTTTGCCAGCTTCCAATTTTTGTACTTTTCCCAATAAAACTCAGAAGATATTTGTCCTTAATAGCTGCCTCAGACTACTATTGAGTACTAAAGCCTGAAGGCAGGAAAGAATGGGGGGAAAAAACCAAAACCACTGCAGTGAGGAATCTTCCAAAGGCAATGAACTTTCACGGAATAAAAAAAAATAAAAATTCTCACTTCTCCCATGAGCTCAGCATGAACCTTGGAGACTCCATAGATTGTCCTTGGTCTCTGAATGCAGAGATCAGGAGTTGGATCTCGAGGAGAGGTGGGACCAAAGGCTCCAATGGTGCTTGGAACAAAGAGTCTCAAATTATGCTCAGCTGCAATATCCAGAACATTGTGTAAACCTGGAACAGACAATGGGATTTATCAGAACATAGACCACACTTTCTTAAGCCTCTGTAGGAGTCATGAAGTTGAAATCCTTGTCACATACCAGTAATATTTACAGCTCTGGCCAAAGGGACGTTTGCTTCTCCAACAGCACTGAGCAAAGCGCTATAGTGGAAGAGCCAAGATATCCGATTATTCACCACTATCTCACGTAAATTCTTGTAGTCCAAGATATCCGCGTAGATAAAAGGACCTAGAGGAAATGGAACCAGGAGGAAATTGAATGCCAAGAAGCATGGAGGTCAAGAAAAGTTCTAGATGAAACTCAAATTGCTGCTTCTTGACCATGCCTCTATTCAGGATTTGACTGCATAGCAGAATGCACACCTTCTAACAGCAGTGGTCAATAAATTAGTAAATAAGCAGGAGAAATGAAGGGGAACTGCTACCTCTACCTCAACAAAAGACTGATGCAAGAACTCCTCTTTTATCCAGTCAATGGCATGAAAACAGGGAACATCTAGTGTACACTACTGAAATATCTAAATACTTTGTTAAACAGTAATGGTGAAGAAAAACTTATGCAAGTTTCTAATGAAAAGCAAAGAATCCAAAAAACCTACTCTACATCCATCTTATCAGAAAAATTGTCTGAGCATGGAAAAACAAAGCAACAAATTTAATTTCCAAGTTGTTCCCTCCAAAAGAGTAAATGCATCTCTTTTTACAGCAGGAACACAACAGCCAAGCTCAACTTGACTCAAGTAGTTATTCTGGTCAACAAAGTGGCAAAGAAACAGTGAAAAAATGCAAAGAAGAATATTTAGAAAAAGCAAATAACTGATACAAGAAATCAATGCCTGGGAGAGGTTTCAAAGCAGAAGTTCTGAACAGCAACTTCTTCAGTTTCATCCACGTATCATTTAGACTTTGGTAGTCTATCAATACCAAGAGGTAAAGTCAAGATTTTTTTCCATATGCTCCCCTAGTCACTTACCACTATAAAAAATATTATCCGCAGGCTTTCGAATGTCAGACAAGATCACGTTGTTCTTTCCAAAATGTTTCCTGTATAAAAATACCCACACAGTACAGTGAGTCCACAGTCTTCAAGATAATTTATAAGTTGCTATGCTGCTATTTTTTTTTTAATCAGGAGAAATATCAGAAGAACAATAATTTCAACAATGAAATCAGCTACAGCACTTAAAAAAAAAACCAAACCCACCAGTCCCTTAAATGTAAATACAGCATCTTTGAAAATGAGTAAAATACTTCCACTAGCAGTGAAAGACTGCATAAGGATAATCTTTTAGAAAACAAAAATACATTAAGACAGACCTTCCTACCCTCTTCTTTCTGAAAATTTTACCCAGAGATAATCTGCTCCCCTGCGGACAACAAAAAGCCACTGGGCTGGCTGTAACGGCAGCTACTTTTATATCAACAAAGTAAATACAACTGAGCAACGTCTGCCCTGCACTTTTCTAATCAGCGCAAGGCTGTCGCAGAGAGCAAGTCTGATGGCACTGGAGTACACCCCAGCCTTCCATTATTTAGATGATTTTTAAATATATCACAGAAATGGTAGAAAACAGTCAAACTGCAACACAGCGTTGAATGCAGTGAGTTTGCTCACTTTTGGTCATAGTCCAAATCCTCCGCAACGAACGCTGTCTATGTGTAAATGATACTCTGGAGCTGAGCAGGCGTGGACATGGACAACGATACGGGCCAGGGAAAGCTCTCAGAGCATTTTACATTTCTTGAAAAGATACCATGGCAAAAAATAAGGTAACTGTGTATCTGAGGCAGGGGAACAGAAAGAGCCAGAAGAAATGTACTTTTGCTTTACTTCTTTTGCTGCGTCAGCTCATCTTTCACCAACTCATAAAAACGTCAAGATCTTGTATCCTAATCTTTATTCTTGTTTGTACTCTACTAAATAGGGCACCTTATTCCTGAAGTCACTTAACTGAAATTCTCAGAGAGATGAAAGTCAGCAGCTGCAAAGCCCAACAGCGAGGTAGTTAGCAAAGGACTATGCATTCTTTCAAGGGGATATTTGTACTTTTTTCTCTCCTGTAGTACCTGCATAAAATCACAGCCTTTGTCTATTGAGCCCTCAAATCCAGCCTTATTTGGCTAGACCAAAAAAGAGAAAAGGAAAACTGACCACCTGAATATTCAGACTGTGAATACTTCCATTCAACTAGAAGAAAACTGAACTCAGCAGCTAGTCTCTTAGACAAGATTATGTTATTTTGGGAGTCGTGACCAATGTACACACAGGAAGTACGTCAGTGAGGCTAAACCAAGCACAGGAGTGAGAAATAAAGACGGTGAAAATGTAAAGTTATTTACAAAACTAAGAGGCAAAAAAGAATCTGCAATCGTCACTAGGATTTTTTTAAAAAAACACTTTCCAGAAAAGTATTGCTTCTAGAAGTGATGGCTGAAGCTTGAATTCCTCACCAGTAGCAAGTCAGAGAATCATGACATACCTCAGAAGCTTAGCAAGTCCCACTCCAAGCTGACCAAGACCCCCTAAAAGGCAACACAGAAGAGACAAAAATCAGAGAAAAATCAAAAATCACATCCCAATGCAGAGTTCCGTTATTATATGTATCACATCAGAAATTAGTACTATTTTCCTCAGCCAGTCAGAAAGCTTTTATATTTTTTCCTCAAGGAAAACCCAATGAATTGGTTTTAGTAGATTTCTGGAATAAAAATAGTAAGAAAATTCACACGGGACTCTAATCCTATCACCACACAGGAAAGATCATCACAATTCCAGGATATTTGAGCATTTTTGCTTCCAGTGTTCTGCTCACCAGGGAGGGAGGAGGGGAGAGGGGGACTTGACTGAGGAGCTGGAGCAGGAATACAGTTATGACAGGAATGCTGACCTGTAATTAGCACCCGAGGATGGTCAGACTCGGCAAAAGAAACGGAGTGAAAGCTAGCATCGGAGGCCACCTGGCGGGGCGAGACTCCAATGCATCGAACAGGCACGATGGAAACCCCACATCCACAACCAGAGCTCTGGAGCAGCTGGCTGACAGCTCTGCTCACGTTTTTGACAATTGGCATCTTCCTCCTTCAAATGTGCTGTGAGAACAAGAGAAAAGATTAGTCACGAATGACTCAACCACATTAAACACTTCAAACACTCCCTTCGAAAACTCTGAAGGGTTTCAAAGAAGTTTGATGCAATCCAAGTCCTAACTGAGGTGCCAACTGAGCGCCACGTCTACTGAAAGCAGCCTGAGAAGTAACATGAATAGAGGTAATGTATTCACCAGAGCGAGCTCAAGAAAATACCCACAGCCCCAGCTCAGAGCCCAGTATTATGAACAGTGAGAATACAGTTCAGTTTAAGCCTTTTTAAAACAGTCAGTAGAAACCATGATTTCAAGCACAAAAGACAACAAACACAGAATTCAACACGTTCAGCCACTGTGATTACACAGCTTCACCGTAGGTACTTTGGAAGTTTTGTAGACTGCAATGAATAAGCAACCCTTCTTAGCATTGCATCAGCAAGATTCAGCTAAGCCAACAGAGGCAGCAGTAAATCTCTGTAAAGAGCACTGCTTTGCTCAAACTTTGTATGCATGGTGGTCAGCACCTGGGAAACCAACGAAGGAGAAGCAGTAAAAAGCAGTATTTACCCAGGACTCGTGAAAATGTCTTAACTACTTTACACACACACACACAAAAAAAAAAAAAAAAAAAGGGACATGATTCACTCATAATAACACACTGCAAAAATATCCCTAAGTTACCCTGAGCTACAGGCAAGTTTGGTTTTCTTTCTCTCCAAATCTTTCATATTGGGAAAGGAAATGGGAGAAGAAGCGATTACCTTGCAAGAGCAGCTTGGACAGAAAAGCCCGTTCTGCTAGATCAGAGTTTCCCATTTTAAATAACTTGAGGAAGTTATTAACGAACATAACGAACTGAACATAAAAAGTATTAATTTAGCTGATGTAAAAACCTTCATTTTTTCATAGGTTTCTCTTTCTTACTATCCCAAAGAGGAATACTTCTGCACCGTTAGCAACTGGAGAAAGAAATATCTACAAATACGTATTCCAACTCCCCCTACCCCATATTACCTTCTGACTAGTTTTTCAGTCACTGGTTTTACTCATTGACCCACACCAATACTGGAAACGAACCCTTTTGTTTCCTAGAGTAAGAAAAACGAGGAAGCTTTATCCTCAAGTTATTTCCCCCACCCCACTAATTTAAATTACCAACCAAGGCTAATTTCAAGGATTAAGCAACACACACTGGAATTTTCCCTCGTCTGTACTCACCTGTCCCTCAGCTGGCGATAGAGCAGAAGCAGAGCGGAGATGGCAATTTATAGGCCACTGCCTCTTTTGAAAGCCAATCAAAACCTGACAGAAAGTAGGAGTTGTCCCACACCTTAAAAAAAAAAAAAAGGAAAAAAAAAAGCATGTGCATGAGAGCAGCAGCCAGGGACATGTCTGTAACTCTGTGATAGGCAGAGGACTCCGAAGCTATGCGACCAGCTCTTTAACTAACAGAACCGTACAACCTCAGGTCATCTCTGAAGGACGGGTTTTCAAACTAATTGGCTGCAGCGCAAAGGATTAGTATCAAGCAAACACATGTTTGAACATAAAGCAATAATCTCCCTTGCATAGCGGGGAATTTCTGAGTTTTGTAAGGAGATTAAACACAGGGAGAGGGAAAAAGAAGGGGGGGGGGGAAAGAAACAGGTTCGTAAAATGATATTTAGCAAGTTAACTGCCAGCTGCCGCTCCTCTGCAGGATTTCCAAAGCCTTACATAAGCAGCGAGCACCTGTTGCTCATATTAAAGACAAAAACGCATTTATAGAAGCTGGTAGTTTCTTATGTATTCAATATTAAATTACGGTGGTAAGAAAGACGAGAAACTCAGGGGTTTGGTCTGGAAAATCCTGTAATGGTAAGCTTCAAAGAAAATGGAAAAGGGGGAGAAAAGAGGGGTTTGACCCAACTCCCAAATCTCCCACAGCGTTTCTGGGGGCTGCACAGCTGCTGAGATGCCAGGGGATGCTCCTCCACAGAGCCGACCAAAGAAGCCCCACGCTTGCTTCTTTCAAAGAAAGTTAAGGTACCCTCCAGGGCACAGGATCTCGCAGATTCCCAACCACTAGTACATTCAAAATGGCCAACATCCTGGGGTATATGGTCCACACCAACGTGCTACACTCCAAGCTATCGCTCCCAACTCACGCTTGTCTCCAAACCACACAGCTTCTGCTTCACACCTGAGGACGGGCTTACGCATCAGAAAGCTCCTCTACTTTCCAACTGTATCAAGAAGAGCTGGAGTGGAAAGACACTGCCCACACCTTGGGCATCCAGAAGACGAAGCACACGCCACCTTGCCTGTCCCATGGGAAAGCCTTACACCCTGGCACCCAAGTGCTGCCAACTGGGAAGTCCATCGGATCACCGCGTTTGGGAGCGCTCAAGCTGCAACGACTAGGGGATACTCTCAGCTCAACCAAGACTTAACGCAGCCTGGATAGACAGAAAGACCAAAGCCATCGCACGTCCCCCTGTTGGCATTTCCTCTGGTTCAGAGAGCCCCGAATTGGGGTAAGGGGGCCCTGCGTCCTTCCCCGCGTCCCCTGGCGTGGTTGCTGTGCCAGGGCAGGGCAGAGGGGCGGCCGGGCTTGCGCTGTTCTCTCTGGCAGGCAGCTGCTGGCCAACTTCAGTTCAAATAACCTTGACACGCACGCACAACCTCCGCCGCTCGTTTTACAGAGGTGACGCACGACCGCGGGACGCCGCCGTATACCCCTCGCAAAGCTCGCCAAGAAACGACGTCAGCCCGAAACACCGAGGGACCGGCTCGAAATCTGACCTCAGCAATCGATATCTTTAAAAAAAAAAAAAAAAAAAAAAAAAAAAAAAATAAAAAACCACACAAAACAAAAAAACCACACAAAAAAATCACTCCAACTGATAAATAAGACAAGTCATATGTCCCAAAGATACAGCCAAGTTCCTTGGCACTCTCCTTTCCCTCACTGAGATCCTCCCAGCCAGAGCGGGCAACATCTCGCACACCCCCGCAGCGAGCCAAATGC